CATTGTCCGGGACAAACCAGCCGGATGAGCTGCTGAGAGGGAATATCAGCACCGGCTGCCACTGTAAATGGTGCTGGGGGATTTTAATGAGGGTGAAAGTGGAGAGTTTTGGGGCACAGGGATGGCACAGACAAGTTAAACTTGAGAAATAAAATAAGCAAAAAGATGACAGAAGGGCGGCGTGGGGAGACACAGGCACGGGAAGGGGATGAGATTGAGATGGGGGGAGGAACAGGCGCCGTTTCTCTGCTGTTTTCTTGTTGGGTGGGTTTATTTTTCCACTTGTCAGGAAGATGAGGGAGAGGATTTCACCCAGTGGGGTTGTCACCATCCCACACGTCACCGAGAAGGGACACAAGTGGTTAGAGACCAAATTGCCACCTTACCTGCTCCACATCACCCCGGGGAGGGGATACACAGACCAAATTACCCCCCAGCTTGGCTTTCCAGCCCTTAAAACCAATATCCCCAGCCTTCCTGAAGAAGGTAGATGCCACACCAGTGGTGAGCTGCCCTACCTTCTGGGATCCATGCTGGATGGTGGTGATGCAGACAGGATCCACCAGCGGTTTGGGGCGCTTGGCCGACTCCTCGATGATCCCTTGCCATTGCCGCGGCAGCCCGGTGAATTTCTGCTCTTGCTGGTCGTATCCGGTGTGAACTCTGTGCTCAAAGTTGGAAGGAGCAGAGATTTCGAGGCGTTTCTTCTTCTTGCTGAACATGGTGAAGGTGGTTAGAAGAGCTGTAGGGTAAATAAAAATAATAAAGGGATAAAAATATGAAGTTTGGAGGAGGAGGAGGAAGGTGGGAAGCGCCCCGGTGACCTCGGCGAGGAATAAAACCAACCACCTCTCGTTTAGGAACTGATTTTGCTCTCTGGTAAATTAATTACTGGCCACGTGTGTGTGCCAGGAAGGAAACACCTTTGAGGCACGTGTCTTGGGAGGTTGGGATCTATTTATCCCCCCCCAACCCCTCATGATCCCCCCATCGCTCCTGGTTTTGTGTGTTTGAGGCCAGATTTGTGGGTCCCTCCTGCCTTGAGTGTTTTGAACAGCGACTGCAAAGCAGGATGACTGAGGGGGGTTTTTGGGGTCACTCTGTGAGGTTTTTGGGCTCCAGGTTGCCCCGTCCATACATCACACGAGGAAATCCCACGTAACCTTTGGCTCCTGCACCCGCTTGTCCCTCTTTGTCACCATCCCAGTGGGTAATTTCCTCGGCTCTTCCCCTTCCAGCAGCTTCCCCGACACGCTGGGGCTGGACTCTGCTTCCTTCCACCGCAGCTGCCGGGTTTTTGGCTGTCCCTGAGGTGAGATGACGCCGTCACTGGAGATTCAGCAGCTCACACGAGCCACCCAGATGGTCGTGGACATCCCTGTGCTCTCCACCTCAGCTCCATCATCTTCCCAAAGCCATGAAGGGACGACAGGACCAGGAATCTTCTCTCTTTTGGGATAAAGCTGCTTTTTTCCCCACTCATCTTCTCTTCCTCCCCAGCGTAACTCTCCTGGGGTTATTTTTCATCCAGGAGAAGTGACATTTTGGGAACTCCTGATCTTGCAGACATTTTCCTACGTCCCTTTTCTTTTTGATGTAATGCTCCTAAATTCAAAAACTAAGCAAAAAACACCCCCTCCTGCAATTAAAATCTAGATTATTTTTGTTTTAATTAAAATAAACCCACAAGGGAAGCACCTCAGTAGGTGACACAAGCCCGGGTGGCCCGGTGACACACAGGAAAAGGTCCTTTTGCTGGATGTTGGTGACTAAACAGCGTCCCTTAAACCTTTTTACCTACGTGGCGTCGCTTAAAACCACGGTCGAAGCGTCGTTTGAAAGCTACAAAGTGAATAAAACCAGCAAGAAAAACAACCTGAGCTGGGAAAAAAAAAGCTGGGTGTGGAGATGCTCAACCCAGAGTGTTTATTTACTCAGGTGCTTCCACGCAGGTCGAGGAGCCTGAAACACCAAGTCAAGGCTGAAGAAAATCATAGACTCATGGAATGGTTTTTGGGTTGGAAGGGACCT